TACATGGAACAGTTTGAGGAAGACCAAATTTCTACCCTTCAAAACATTGATGCTCAAAGGATATAAGGCCACCAATGTATTGATTGATCACCCACACAATTGATACTCAACTAACTACAATCAATTAAATAATGAAACAAAATGGAGATACCTGAAAATTAACTCTAACCGCTACTGTGTGTATAAGAAACATTTATTTTGGACTTTGCTTTAATATTTCAGAGTTTCACTAACCTATCGTTTAATGACGATAATTAGAATATTCATGTAAATAATGAGAGTGCACATAACGGAAGAAGAGTGAGGAACAAAATTCGAAATACTTTATTCAAAATCGAAATCAGATTGATTTAGTGTCTTACAAAATCAGAGGTAAGTAGACAAATTATGCCAGAGAGATTGATGATCTCCGTAAATACTTTTATTAATAAGCAGTAATATTTAAATTCATATTCGGAAGCATTGTAAAGAAAGCAATTTTTTTGATTTCATAACGTTATCAAAATTTACTTTCATTAGACAATACTCTCGTATTAAAAGTATTTTCATTTGTACGTCTATAGTTTTTAATTAATTTTTTTCCTGATGCACATAGAAATATATGTTGCTAATCAAACGAGAATGATTGTACATGCTTTTTAGTACGTTTCGATGTTGTCGAACCAGGTTTAGGCAAGTAAATTTAAAGATATATTTTACGCACAACTTGATGAGCCTAATCATGACTATCAATATTCCGAGAATAAAAAGCATGTTCTGTTACTTTATCAAGAATATTCCCAAAAAATATTCTCACATATTATCTACATTCTGTACATTCTTTTATTACTACATGTTTTCCGGCCGTTCTTTGCTAGTAATGATCAAATTATTACTTCAAGATGAATCCTTCTCGTTATTGAATTTAAGATGATTTATGCAACTGTTATCATTCTCTTTAATCATCAAAATTTACTTGAAATCATTATTTCGATAAAAACTGATCAAACTCAACATATTGGTTATACAGGGTGTAAATGTCAAATACGCGGTTTTGAATCGCTAATAACTTTTTTGTTCTTTGTCCTATTTCGAAATTTTTTTCGATTATAAGTAGTCAAATAGTGCGAGTTTTGTTCACAATAGCTCGAAACTTTATGTGATTACATTAAGTGCGAGAAATTCCGCCTCAAAGTCAAAAAAGTTGAATTTTGCTTCGGAAATGGTAGAATTCAGAATTTTTTTTGCAAGGATGCAAGATTGGAAAATTAAAAAATCAGATAATTCTAATCGTGAAAATATTGGATGATTAAATTTTTGACGGGAAAATATCATGATCAGAAGAGTAGACCAATCCGAAATAACATGTCAATGTTCAATGCGCGTTTTGCCTACATTCAAGGTCCGATATTTTTCGAAGACGAAATCATACAATCACAAAGTGAACATCATTCGATAGATAATTTCTTGTTGAATTTTTCCGGCAAAAAATAACTGCTAAATTGCCAAAATTTGACTATTTTTGTGGTGATTTGCGGCAAAAATCAACTTTTTTCACTTTGAGGCGAAATTTCTCGCACTTAAGGTGATTTTATAAATTTTCGAACTGTTGTGAACAAAACTCGCACTATCTGACTACATATAATCGAAAAAAACTTCGAAATCGGACGAAGAACAAAAAAGTTATTAGCGATTCAAAACCGCGTATTTGACATTTACACCCTGTATAATTAACTAATAGGAACAAATGAAAAGTTAAATCTTTTGTTAACCAAAAGCAACTTACTCAAGGCAATAAATAACGCAGCAAATATCCAAACCTTAAACCCTTTCATTCTCTTAATTGTTATTACTACCCATTATTAATACACTAACAATCAATAATATATTTACCTTGTTAAGTTGATGATTAAGTCGACACATTTTAGAGAAAGAGAATGGAAGAAAACAAAACGTAAAATTTGTCTCAATATTATAACCTTATAAAAATTTTGTCTTTATTGTTAAACCCAAATTACTATTTACCATTAAAAAAATCATCATAATCATTATCATTATCATTATTTACTCTGCTCATTATTGATGATTCAATGTCAACCCTTTTGCTTTTACAATTCAATATTAACCCCTTCAAGCTTTGACTATTAAGCGACAAGATTGATTTAGCTCCCAACATTGAAAGGCAAAAGAGCAACCTGATTAACCAAAAAACGTAAATAAAATTTATTATCAATTCAAAATTCGTTGGAAAGCTGCAAGGCTTTTAAAACAAAGCATTTACGTACTAATTATTGTTATTAATGCAAGGATATTTATCATTGAGGTTCAATTGACTAATAATTTGATAATATGCGATAATCAAATGAATTTAATAACAAATATTGGATGGAAAATGAAACATACGTTGATATTCAAACAATTGACTCAATTTACCGAGTCAATTAATTCCTCTTGTTTGCCCTTTCAGTTCAACTCTGCTCTTTTCAAAGGTTAACATGCATATGGATTGGATTGTTACATTAATTAACTTTGAATTAACCTTAGGGAATGAGTTTCAATTTGCTTTTCTCTTATTTAATCAACACAATCAATCATCAAGTCTACCAAAAGAGAAGCATCAGTTTAACAAAAATTCAATTTAAGAATAATTACATTCATCCATTGATTTGATCAACTGTTTCATCGTTTAACATTCATGGATCAAGAATTATTTTAATCACTTTTTATTTATCTGTGACTTTTAATCTTTATAAGTCTTTGCTAGTTTGAATGTTGACAATTGGGTTCCAATTTTGTCTCCTCAAAGGATAAAAAGATGTTCAAAAAGTAAACTTTAATGCAAAAAACAATGTCATGTTGTGCTCAACAAATAGCATCATTATTAATGATTCATTAATGAGTAGTTAATTTTGCAGAATCTGAAAGCTCAGAATTTTCCTGAATAAATCGTATTTGAACCAAGATCTACACTTTTTTGCTAACTTTGACTCTCATTGACATCATGAAAAATAGACAAAATACTATTGTAACGTCAGAAGCTATTCGAGTTGTAATGACAATGATCTTTTGATGAATTCAATTTTTCCCTGTTGTTTGCTTTACTTTTGCATATTTGATGAAGTTTATTTAAAACTAAATTATTCCCAACCCTATCTGAATAGGCATACTGATTGAAGGTTAACATGTTGTTGATAAAAATGATGATACAGGTGATGATGATGAGTCGGGTGGTGTTACCTTCAAGGCTTTACCCAAACTGATGATCATCTTGATGAGGTGAATAATGAAAAATGTAGGTTGCTGATGATTCTAATGATTCCTGATGATGGTGATAGAAGGAGGAGTAGGAAGATGATAAGGCTCATCTAATCATTATGTGATTATCATGATGCTTTTCCTTCATAAATAAAAGTTGCACTTGAATAACGGCCAATAATAAACTCTATCAATCTCACCATATCCATCATCACCATCACTTTAGATTGATTGACTTTGATCCAATTTTACATTTTTTTCACTTTTCGCCATTCTCATCTCTTCTTAATTGTTGATCCAGTTTAGTGTTTGCTATCATTAATATCAATATTTTCAAAACTATCCTGACAAAGCAAGTGATGAATCAACTTGGGCGAGTTCAGTTAGTTGATTGTATTGATCAGGAAAAGGCAGAAGAAAAAGGAAAAAAGAAGATTGAATTTGGCCAATTTTATTGCAAACAACAATATTGATTGTTTATATGGGTTTATAATTATCAACAATTTGTTTGTTTTCAACTTATTTTGATAGATTAACTTATTGCTTGAGATGTTGCATTATGCTTTTTATTGACAGTCAAGTAAATCAAATTATCAACATTTCCAGTTTACAGTTTTCACCTTTTTGTGTTGATTATATTAAACTTGATCAATCGAGATTCTAGTTTCAATGAGATTCTTGTTATTGATGATGATTAGGATGATGATGATGATGGATTCAATGAAGCTTCAACTTTTGATTCATGAAAAGCAAAAAATTGAATTTTCTTTTTCATCTTTTTTTTTCTCATGTTTATTCGCTCGGTTCAACTTGTTCAATTTACCCTTTATCTTGAAAAGGTATCTTGACCTGTTGAACATTTTCATTTATCTCTTCTGTGTTGGTGTTCATCAGGGTATTTAAGATAATATTGAAACTAATATATTACCATGTTGACTGCAAGGTAAAATATTGTTGATAAATTGACTTTTATCGGTTCATTTGAAATCTTAGAGTCAAGTAGAAATGGGTTTGGTTCAATATTTTTTTTCCTTCGTTTACCTTCGTTTACCTCTTCTTCTGATTAATCTTGAACCCTTTTAATAATCTGGTTAATCATTCATCTTTGGTGGGTTCATTGGGTGGTCAAAATTCATCTTCATTTCAACCAATTCAACTCTCATTTCTTATAATTAAATACCTTCCATAACATAGAAAAACATAGCTTGGAAAAGCACAGAAAAATGATTTCTTGACTTCCTCAACTTTCCAGATGTCAAGAAGTGTTTAGTTGATGTTAATGGCGTTGTGCCACCTGATTGTAATCGATTGAATGATTCAAAGTGCTAATACCATTGAAATTCGGATAAAATGATGCAAATGCTTAGTGCTAGGTGAATGCATGTACCCTGGCTGTTGAAGAATTAAATTCCCGTTGCTACGATTATAACTTTTTATCTATTATGGCCAGATAGTCAAAATAATGTAAAATAATCAATTAAATATTAAATTAGTTTAACATCGATGATGATCATGAAGAAAACTTTTCACATCATTCTTAAGCATTTTAGCATAGCTCATGCTCTATCTAGACTTTAACCGCTTAAATTAAATGCAACTCATGATGGGGTTTAAAGCATCATCCATTCAAATTGAAGCGTAATGGTATAAGTCTTGAAGTCACTTGAATGTCATTTGTAAAGCATCAACCGACATGATGTGAACAATTAATTAACCAGTCTAATCATCATTACCAAAATTTTGATGAGTGCCATCTTTTGGTATATTTTGATACATAAGTGGCTATCAGATCAGCTGATTCAGTTGTGTTGTTTACAACACATTAGATTTGGTGTAACAGATTCTGGTATTAATTGAATGACAAACTAAGTCTCGATTTTGTAAAATCCACGCCAGTTCGTTCATAATGTTCAGGTAATTTTTCAAATGTTTAAGTTCATAAAATCAATCATGCTTTCTTGATATTAACTTTTGTTTTCTTTTGTATAGGTTTAAAGTTTCACCAAGCATCAAAGGACTATTGTCTAATGAATGTAGCACCATGACTGCCGGCAATTTGAACATCTTTAGGTACTTGAATGACAAACGGGCCATCGTCTCAAGGGTAAAAAGAAAAGAATCTCAAAAGAATGAGGTTAAAGACCCTGACAGAGGTACGTTCAGGAATTGGGTTAAAAAAAATTATGGTGCAGATCGTGTGCCGAAAAATATGCCCACGGATCCTGATAAATTGGACAGTATTGATAGGTAAATTTTTTCATCTCCGTTTTTACCTCTTTTTATTTTAACAATTATCTCTTATAATTTAACAGAATTGCTTTGACATCTTCTAATGTTGATTATGATTATAATACTGTGAATTTGGTCGCTTCTTTTTACAACACGGACTCGAAGGATTGGGAACATTTCAACAAAGTTGTTGAAGCTTACAAAAAGCCCGATAAATCAGGAATGAGAGTAGGACAAGTTGAATTTATTTATGGTTCGATGAAAAGATTAAAAGATTTTGGTCTGCATAAAGATGTTAGGGCTTATAATGCCTTATTGGATGTTTTTCCTAAAGGAAAAATGATTCCAGAAAATGTTATCCAATTTGGTTTTCTTCATTATGCAAAGCAACAATTTTGTGCTGTAGATCTATTAGAAGAAATGGAATGGAATCAAGTCTTACCAGACCAAGAAACTATCGATTTAGTTTTATCAATTTTTAGTGTTTATTCACAAGTTTTTGACAAGCTGGGAACAATGATATATTGGACTACAAAAGCTAGATATAATGACCCTTATCCATGTCCCAATGTGTTACCTTATGATCCTAAGGAATTGGCAAAAATAAGTTTTCGTAGAATGTGTGTTGATCCAACGACAGAAATATCTATTTATTCGGTAAGTTTCAAATTCATTTATTTTTGTGATATTTTAACTTATTTGTTCAAATGGAGAATATCTTCGTAATTCTAAAATTTTCTCCAAATATTTTTCAGACTGAAGCCGTACCTGAGTCAATGGACAAAACTTGGATAGTCTCAGCAATTTCACCAGTGCAAAAGAAACTTATAAACAAATTAAATGAGCCTCTGTACATTGATGGACCCCATATTATGTGGCTTAAAGATCATATGATCAGTTACTTTATATTAAAAACGGCGGCTCCGGAAGAACTAAAGGAAAATGAAGAAGATTTAGAAGATATGCGAGATCTTCCTTTATATGCTCACGGAGGACTATCAAAAAAACAACATATTGAAAAAATGGAAGCAATTCATCAATCTTCAGAAGGAACAATCTGTGGTTTAGTGGCTACTGGTACCTCTTCAAGAGACTCTTTACTTTCATATATTAGGATTCTTAAACACCATCTACCTAAATTAAAAGATTTAAACATAATTTTTACTCAGCGAGCACCGGAATCTGCATTATATCCATTGGAAGAGGAAAAAAAGGATGAGATGCCAAAAACCAACGATGAAAGTGTTAAGTTGATTGTAAATAAGTAAATATTTATATACAATATGCAGTTTTAAAAATGGATTCAATTTCCCCATTTACATATAATGTTATAAATATACATACAATACATAAATGTAGTATAAAAAATTGATGAGTCAAAATTATGTAAAATAATCAATTAAATATTAAAATAGTTTAACATCGATGATGATCATGAAGAAAACTTTTCACATCATTCTTGAGCATTTTAGCATCACTCATGCTTTATCCAGACTTTAACCGTTCAAACTAAATGCAACTCATGATGGGGTTTAAAGCATGGTCCATTCAAAACGGTATAAGTCTTGAATTCACATGAATGTCATTTGTAAAGCATCAACCGACATGCTGTAAACAATTAATTAACCAGTCAAATCATCATTACCAAAATTTTGATGAGTGCCATCTTTTGGTATATTTTGGTACACTATCAGATCAGCTGATTCAGTTGGTTTGTGTACAACACATTAGATTTGGTGTAACAGATTCTGGTATTAATTGAATGACAAACTAAGTTTCGATTTTGTAAAATCCACGCCAGTTCGTTCATAATGTTCAGGTAATTTTTCAAATGTTTATGTTCATAAAATCAATCATGCTTTCTTGATATTAACTTTTGTTTTCTTTTGTATAGGTTTAAAGTTGCTCCAAGCATCAAAGGACTATTGTCTAATGAATGTAGCACCATGACTGCCGGCAGTTTGAACATCTTTAGGTACTTGAATGGGAATCGGGCTATCATCTCAAGGGTGAAACGCAAAGAGTTTTGTCGCTTTTATGAAACCAATTTGGTCGATTTGGATGGTTCTGTCATTAAATGCAGATATCCCGAACCAAGATATGTTATTAAATTTCCAGTTATTTTTGAAGAGCTTAAGACAGAAGAGGAAAAGAAAGTTTGGTTATCCAGGAGGAAACCCAAAGAAACGTTTAACCGCTCAAAGGATGATTTTGATGTTAAAATCGATAGAAAGATTTATTTGAAACACTTGAAGAAAAAATAGATAACAAGGTGTACAAGTACTAACCATCCATAGGAAACTCTTTAGCAAACCGTCATTTGAACCAATTTTTGTTAAGTTATTTATAGCTAGTTGTCAACCATTAAACTATTATATTTCGTTATTTAGAATCAATGCAAATTATGATGTATTAAAATATTTAACATGTTAGTTGCAATATCAGTTCACAGGATAATTTTTCTATGTTTACTAACCTTTGCATATGAATCGAGAAAATCAATTGCAATTAATCTGAAAAGCCTACAGATTTCTTACAGTATTCGTTCGGGAGTTGTTTTGATATTACGAATAAACAGACCGGAATTGAAAAAAATGAGATACAGTTTACCTAAAATTGTCCATTCGATTTTCATCTGAATCAAATGAAATAACCTTTGAATTTAGTCAAAAAAATTAAATAATAAGCGATTTTAGTGTTAATTTTTGATTTTCGTGATTAAATTCAACCATAAACTACGCTCTAAGTAATAAGCAATAAAAATTAAGGTTAATCAACAAGTTTTTATCAATTGGAAATTAATGTTTTCAAAATTTGCGCCTGAAACATTAGACGGACGATTTCAACTTTAGCTTTAAGTGCCAAATTTAAGATGTAAGAATTGTACTTTTATAGAGCACCTTTGCTTGTTAAAGGTATATCAAATATTTATTTAGTCTTGAATTGAACCTTGATTACTTCAAACCAAATAAATAAATACATAAATTGTAATTTCATTTTATAATAAAAAAGTGAGTATGTATAGTAACAAATAGGTTACTTTCATTCATAACAATGTTTGGAAGAGATGCTCTCAAAATAACATTTGTAGCTATTCATACCGCACAATTGTACTACCTGTTGTGATGTGTCAAACCGAGCCTCAATGTGTTAATGGAGTCAAAATGGAGTTAATATTAGCAATTAACCAACTTATTTATCCTATTATCGAACCAATTTTATTATTAATTTCATATTCGTGTTCACCTTAAGCTTTTTCTCGTGTCATCCGGCGGAAAGTGTATACAGCAGTCAACAGTCAACAAATTTTTTCATCTTGTTTTCATCCATTATATTTTGAGTTTATTTATTGATTGCACTGAATCAATTTCTTCAAAAATGAAGAATATACATTCACCATCAACTGGTCAACATCATCCTATCGATGAATCACGAGCTAGAATCATTGTGATGGGTGAAATTGATATGCTTGAAACTCATATGCGGAATGCTTATTCAATATTCAGTAATAATTATCATGGAGGACGACGTCTTTGGAGTAGCAAAACATCCAAACCCGTGATTACTTCAATTGCTAGCGAAACAGATGAAGAAGAGGATACCTTTATTGATGATCTAGGAAATGGAGGGTCTATACCATCTGGATCTAACCAACAGCTGACCAAATCTATTAGAGATGCATATTGCGGTCTCAAAAAATTAATGGAGAAATTAGTTCGCAATCTAAATCCATTAGCTGATATCTCTTATTTAGTCCCATTTTGCGAAGTTATCAAAGATCCAGACATAAGTGGACCCATTACTGACTTGGCACTTCGATCATTGATAAAATTTCTGCGTAAAGGTTTAATTGATGCAACGGAGGAAATGGGATCAGCTCAATATGTTGGTGATTCCATTATCAAAGCTCGTTTTGTGGCCACTGATAGTGCTAATGATGAAATTGTTTTAATGAGAATACTTACCGCTCTTCGGGAGATAATTATTCGTGGTTTCAAGTCCATTTCAAACGATACTGTGTGTGAGATAATGCAATCCTGTTTCCGTATTGCTTCTGAGTTCCGATTGAGTGAAATATTGCGAGAAACCTCGAGGCAAGCTTTAGAAGACATGGTTGAAGTACTTTTTAGTCGCATTCATGAATTCGATGATATTTCGCCTGGCTATGGGACTGTTGTTAAAATTTCTGGTCCAGTTAAATTTCCTACTCTTGGCTCCAATCGTAAAGTAAAGTCTAGTGAAAGTCAAATCAAAAGTACAACCAGCACAGCATCAGTAGTACCTCAACCACAACAACAAACACAATCATCGTCATCAATCACGACAACATCATCAGTTTCATTAGCACCATCACCTATTTCTTCACAATCCACGTTATCCACAACAACAAATACAACTGCCATAACCACAGCAGAAGTAAATCAATCAACAAACTTACAAACTACTAACACTTTATCTGGTCAACCCACAGAGTTTGTTAATAGACATGGCATCAAATTTTCTGAAGATGCTGCTATTCCTAGGCCACTAGATACATTAGCGCGTAAATTGGGTCGAAAAAGTTATGATCTTGTCTGCATTCATGAGCTTTTGACTTATCTCACCTCTTTGATAAATCCTCTTCCAGAAAGCAACAATACCGATGCAAATGTCAATCTTGGTCTCAAATTGTTAACTGTTGCCTTTGAAACTGCAGTTGATGAAATAGGGAATAAACAATGTCTCTTAGCCATAGTTAAAAATGAATTATGCTGGAATCTTTTACTGGTAAGATATCTAATAATTTAACCTTAGCTGTCAAAAAATTTTGATGCTATTCTGCTATTTATATTAATTTATTTTTCTTTCTGATTTCTTTTTAGCTTTTGCAACACGATAAACATCTTACACCATTCGTCTCCTCTTTATGGTTATCATTCATAATATTTAGTTCACTTCGTATACACTTAAAATATCAGTTAGAAGCATTAATTATACGTTTGATGGACATCATTGGGACTGGCAATGCACCTACAGAGTTTCGAAGAATAGCCTTGGAACGTTTGTATTCATTTTTTCAACATATACCTCATCTTTGTCACGAGATATTCATCAATTATGACTGTGATCCATATGCATCCAATTTGTTGGAAGACATTCTTAATCTATTGTCAAAAAAATGTTTTGATGTAGCTTTAACACACCCAGTAATAGGAAATAATCCTTCCCAGCCATTACCGAATACTTTTTCTACCATCCAAACGATTTCTCTTAAAACTCTTCTGGAATGCCTTAAAAGTCTACAAAGGGTCGAGCTAAAGCCAAACGATATGGTTCTTAAATTTACTGATGTTGAAGTTTTACAATTTATTCAAGCCATTCCCCAGCCATCGGATTTAAACACAAATGAAGGACCAAGTGAATCAAAAGAGTTGGAGCCTACTGATAGCGATGATAACAATCCGAACTCACCTCAACATACAGCTGTTGATTCTTTGAGTGCAGAATCTAATCTTGAAGAATCCACTTTAACCGAAATAGTAGTGGTTCGAGACGAATGTGATTCACCTGTTAAGGGATCGGTTTCAGTCAAAAATGAGGATCCAGAGGTTATACCAGTGATTACAAGAAGAAAACCAAAAGTTTTGTATTTACCTAAAAGCGTTTCTGAGATTGAAAAATTGAAACACAAGAAAAAATTACTTTGGATGGCTTCAGAGCAGTTTAATGCCAAACCATCAAAAGGAATAAATTTCCTACAAGAACATAAACTTGTTTCTGATGAAAATGAAATCGTTAACTTTATTAGAGATAATTCTCGTCTTGATAAGAAGCAAATTGGTGAATATTTGGCGAACAAAAAGAATCTTGCTGTTCTTGAATCATTTGTGCAGAGTTTCATGTTTAAAGGATTACGGATTGATGAAGCTTTACGTCTTTACCTAGAATCGTTTAGACTTCCTGGTGAATCTCCATTGATAACTCTTGTCTTAGAGCAATTTGCCCATCATTGGTTTGAATCTAATGATAAACCTTTCGCAAGTGAAGATGCAGCCTTTAGTTTGGCTTACGCTGTCATAATGTTGAATGTTGAGCATCACAACGCAAATGCCAAGAAACAAAAAGAACCAATGACTTGTGATGAGTTTATTAACATGTTGAGACAAGTTAATGGTGGACAGGATTTTGACCCTAATTTACTTCGAGAAATTTATATAACAATTAAAAACAACGAGATTGTCATGCCAGCCGAACAACATGGAATCGTGAGGGAAAAGTACCTCTGGAAATGTTTATTGCGTCGCAGTGAGACTGATTCCGGAACTTATTGGTTTGCTACCGAATCAATATCTCCAATTTCAATGGGAGATAACTCTAATGAAGAAGATCGATGTCTACAGTTATCTTTAATGAATGGTCCAGTTTTCAAAATACTTTGGGGTCCTGCCTTGTCTGCAATGACTTTTGTCTTCGATAAAATTAATGTAAATCAAAATACAGCATTAACCCGTAAAATATTGAATCAAGGGTTTACTGTGTGTGCTCTTCTCTGTGCTAAATATGGTCATCTTGACAATCTAATCTCTAGTCTTTGTAAATTTACTATTAACTCTGCTGGAGGTCCTACAAGTCCATTGTTAACTCGTAAAAGTCAACTCGCTGCACAATGTCTTTTCAAAATTGCTAGAGAATATGTCAATGAGATTCGCCTGGCTTGGACTGAGATCGTTAAAATGATTTTGAACTGGTTCATTGCCAAATTCCTTGAGGAATCATTGGAGTTTGAAGATTTTGCTCTAGGTGGACGGCATATCAAAATGAAGCGTAAAGAAAAGCCAAAACCAGTCAACAAAAGTGCAAACGAAGGTTCATCCAATTTCTTGTCATCCTTTTATTCCTATTTTGCTGGTAATCAAGAGGAAGCATCGATTTCGTCGGATGGTTATTCAAGTGGATACGCATCAAACGTCAGAGACTCTTCCGACTGTGACTTTAATTCTCAATCAACTGAAGTAATCCAAAGCTATTGTAAACCATTAAGTATCATTGAAGAGTCCAAATTTCTTCACACTGATTCATTGGTTGAACTAATCAAAGCTTTGATTAATGTTGACATAGAATTAGAAGATGAAGCTGGTGATGATGTAGAAGCTTTTCGACTTGAAATGATTCTACAAATTATACTTTCAAATAGGTAATGTATTATTTATTGAATCAATTTATTTCATTAATATTATAACACTCTTGAATAACCCTTGTTTTTTCACATCTTCAGGGATCGGGCTTCTGTTTTTTGGTCTCATCTCCAAAGTTATCTACAAACAGTTTCCAAAACTTGTAATCAAAGTGAATTGTTCGCTGAAAGATATGTTTCTGCAATCTTCAGATTAGCCATAAGATTCAGTCCTAGACCGGATGCCTTCAGTGAACAAGTAAGTATAAGTTGAAGATTATATTATCATATTTTAAAAAACAATATTAAATCATTGTCTTCTCTGTTTCTTAACTCTTTGATTTTTCTTTTTATTACAGATCTATCAATTGATTCAACTCATGTTAACGACCTTTGAACCTAGAGTATTCCAGAAACACTATACAGCAACCGCTTTGCATTCCTTCATAACCCATGTCCATTCATCACTAGTCAAAATTGAAACTTGGCGGCTTATTTTTGATGCTCTACTATATGTTGGAATAGGATATCGACCTCCAGGAACATTTAAAGTCAGTGGATCCACTGGAATGACCAAAGGCTCAGTTGAATCCATTAATTTTCTTAGTGATAATGAAGAGAATCCACGTAATCTCAAGGAATCTTCCTCGTCTGGTTCCTTACAGGGTCGAGGATATACTTCAGACTCTGAAATTAATTCACAGAATACTTTGAGATCAGGTAGCCTTGAATCAATAAATTCAGATGGAGGAAGTGGAAGTGGTAATCCATATAAACTTATGACTGGTGACTCTATTGGAACTGGTAAAGGAAGTGTTTACTCTATTACAGATTTATCTGCTTACGAAAAGTGTACTGAAATATTGACTCTCATCATTCGCGAGATTTTACCCAAAAATTTAATCACAACTAATGGTCAAGAGATTGACGAGTTTAGCAGTTCAGTTACACAAATGGCAATAGATACACTAAGAAAGTTTGTCGAAGCTTCTGTTAAAATAAACACTATCTATAAGCATGGTTATCATCATTACCACCATCATTCTAATTTAAGAAGAAGCACTTCTTACAATAACAGTGGACTACGAACTGGCCAATCTTCCAGATCTTCTAATCAATCTTATTCGTCAAGGAGAAACACTGCTACAGGGTCTAGTGGAGCTTGCAGTGATTCAGAAGAAGAATTTAGTAATTTAAGTGAAATCGCTGAAGGAGATGAAGTGGCGAAACAAAAATTAGTCTCTTTAACTGAATCATGTTCACTTAAATTACTTGATTTAATGCACTATCTTCATCTAAATGCTGGTTTAACCAGTGATCATTGTGCCAATGAGTATCTCTGGTCATCTGTTTGGTGTCCATTACTTCAAGGAATAGCTCTTTTGTGCTGTGATTCTCGCCGTCCTGTGCGTACTTGTGCTCTTACTTTTCTCCAAAGAGCTCTTCTTAATCACGATATGAGAATATTGAATGCTCATCAGTGGGAAAGTTGTTTCAACAAAGTGTTATTCCCATTGTTGGCCAAGTTATTGGAACCCCTCAATACTCGTGATCCGGTTGGGATGGATGAAACTCGAATGCGAGCAACCAATTTACTTTGCAAAGTTTTCCTCCAACATCTTCAACCGCTTCTCGACTTACCCACCTTTACAGCTCTTTGGCTTACAATACTTGACTTTATGGATAAATACATGAAAGCGGAGATGCAAACTGATTTGGTTAAAGAAGCCATTCCGGAATCACTGAAAAATATGCTTCTTGTTATGGACACAGCAAACTGTTTTAATTCAGCTTTGTCATCCATTACATGGGATCGAATTCACTGTTTCCTTCCAAATTTGAAAGAGGAAATTATGCCACCTCAGCCTCCTCCACAGCCTCCACAACCTCAACAACCATTGCAAGCACAGCAACCACTACAAACATCACAACCACCGCAATCACCACAATCATCTCAGTCACAGCTACCACAGTTTCCACAGCATTTTACAATATCAACGCAACCCCAGCAGCCTCCACATCCACAACTTACTCAGCTCGCTCAGATTCCTGGACTTCCTGGACTTCCTCAACTAACACAACTCTCTCAACTTCCTCAGTCTACTCCATCAGTTCCACCTGCCTCATCCATAGAGTAATATAAAAATTGTATAAAGAGTGCTGTTTCGACATTTCATTTGATGATGTCTTTATTATTAATATAAAATTAATATATAAAATTAATAAAAGTGAAACTATTGTATTCAATTTGATGTATCGCAGTTCTATTTATTCAGATTTTCATCTCGGTCGTCTGATAATTCACTTTTTATTTTCTCTCTAAGAAATTATGCCATCTCACCTATCCACAGCCTCCACGACATTAACAACCACCGCAACCACTGTAGACACCACAACCAAAGAGTAAATAAGTTTTTTATCGTTTACGAAGGTTTTCAGTCACAACTCATCAATGGTTGATGCTAGGGCAATCCGTAAAATTGATATATCGGAGTTTTCAAAAAATGAGATCCTTTTATTTATTCAGATTTTTGAATCCAATTTTTGAATAATTCACTATTTATTTTTCTGTAAAGCCTTGAAAGTCACCAACAGTTTTTTGAGTAAAAAAATCAAATTTCTTGGAAAATAAAATTTACTTGATTCTTTGGTCTCCTTGTAAACACATAATATGATTCAAGTGAAATAGTTTCACCAAGTTCAACAGTTACCTGAAACTTTTGAACAACTGAGACAAGATAAAGGAATAATTGAAGAATGGCGAAACTTTCGCCTGGACAAACTCTTTTGCCCCCACTAAATGGTATCAAATATGAGGGTTTGACAGCTTTAGTCCCATCTTCACTCAGAAATCGTTCGGGAAAAAAGATATTTGGATTATCCCAAAGCTTAGGATCATGGTGAGTATACCATAAATTGAATACAACCAGACTATCTTTCGGTATCAAATTTCCGTCAATTTCAATATCTTTTGTTGCTCTTCTCAAAGGAGAAACAGGAACAATCGATGAGAACCTTAGGACTTCATAAATAAAGGCCATCGTAAGAGGCATCCTTAAACGATTCACAAAATCGGGCGGTTGGTCCAATCCAATTGTTTCTCTTATTTCATTTCTAATTTCATCCTGATATTTTGGGTAAGTTACCAAGTACAAGAAAATCCAATGGAGAGTCAATGATATTGTATCTGATCCTGCTGTATAAAAAATGCTTGCATTTCTACGTAAAGTTGTGATATTAAAGGTTGATTTATCCTGTCTGGTTCCACTGTCCATCTCTTCGAGGAAACCATCGATGTAGTCCTTTATTTGGGAAGTTTCTTTGTTTTGTTGATGTGATTCAACCTCACTAAGAACATGGCCTTCAATAGCTGTAAACAATTGGCGCATTTTCTCAAGCTTTTGATAATCAAGGCGCACCAAAATTTTTGCCAACCAAGGAAGGAAAGTGGCTGCATTGAAGAAATGACCGAAATGATTAAGCTCTTCCAAAGCCTTGGACATTTCAATTGTTTTTGAATCACTATAGTCAAATCTGTGGCCAAATAAGAGGATTGAAATGTTATTTGAAACACTCATTGAAAGCAACTGGAAGATGTTGGATGGTTTACCATTGTGTCGCTTTATTTCTGTAATTAATGTTTTTATTTCATCTTTGATTTGATTTTCCATTTTTGTTTTACCCAGGCCAACATCGCGAAGCGTTTTAAGAGCAAGTCTACGGTGAGCTTTCCATGGTTCACCTGACATTTCAAAAAATGATGGAGCATCAATCACTTCTGGCAGGAAAACCTGATCAGGACGAGCGAGTAAATCATCACTTGCTAATGCTTTTTTGATTGACTTCCATTCATTGATTAAAATGACGTCAAATTGTCCACAAGCAAAGCTGCATATTGGTCCATATCGCTTGGTAAATTCATAAAATTGAAGGTGAGCATCCTGCTTTATAAATGGTAAATATCCCACAATTGGAAGGCCCCATGGACCGGGTGGAAGTTTACGAAGTCTTTGAATCAAATTAATGAAACAAGTAACCAGGAAAAGAGCAACACAAGTTAACAATAAATTGATTGAGCTTGAGTTGAGTTCAAGTCTATAACCCAACAAAACTAGCGCAGGCATTATAACCTCAACATTGACGATGATCTACAGTAACACCAATAATTATCAAAACTATGATCAATACTTGTTGGAATAATGAAAATAGACAATTTGTTTGTAGAGTTTGTATAAAATGTTTCGTCAGATATCCACTCAAGCTCAAATAGATTTGACATTGAATCTACTATTTTTGCTGCACCCTTACGATTATGTAATCATCATGAGAGTGCCTATTCTTTATAATTTTCCATGAGATTTTTGATCTGTCTAGAGATGAAGAGAATTGTTTTTATTAAGAAAATTGATACAAAAATAAAGCTCGACTCAAGAGAAGATGTATTACATATTACCTGTGTATGTATGATCTTTAAAGTGCAGTAAGGAATTATTACAAATCTTCAGTTTAATAGCAATTTGAAGAAACACTTTCGGTGAAATGATTATTTACAAATAACATAGAAGATCACTATCAAGCTTTAAATACATTATATTGTATATTACTAACGAGGGCACGTCTCAGGTGTCTCAATAATTTCGGGTCGAGACCATATACATTCGATAGAGCACAAAAAATTATGCATAGGGTTAACTTCTCCCGTTTCGGAAACTTTCGGATCACGAGTAAATTGAGGTCGAAAGACCAATTTTCACGAAAACATGCAAGTTCTTGAAATTTTACCCTATTTTTATTACATTTATTAGGTTTTCGGACCTGAAAAAATGATTGGAAATAATTAAAACTCTGTAAAATGTCATTTTAACCACTTTTAGCTGCATCAATAGTCAAAAAGTGTTGGTGGTGAAAGGAAAAAGTGTAATATGTACAAAACGTGGACATGGGCAACGCAAAGTAATTTTGTGAGGTACTTTGTGTATTCGGTTGAATAGTGTTGCACTAATACTATCGATACGAGTAATAGTATTGATATTTCACTGAGCAATACGTATCGATACTTTGAAAAACGGTATCGATACGAATTCGATACTTTTTTTAGTTGAAAGTTCAAATTAAATCAAGTTTTTGACTTGATTTAAACCCTTTGTCCTGAAAAATCTCTACTTTCTCAAGTATCGAACAATTAGAAACCCAGAATTTTTTCTTCAATTGAAAAGATTTCAATGAAGAAAGGTTGAGTTAAATCTTTTGATTGAATTTAACGCATCAAAGTTCTTAGATTCACTATCTGAATGTATTATTTGAACTTTACATTCATATTCTGAGTACCTAATATTAGCTCGGCAATAATACTTCCAATACTTAAACAATATTTTTGATATTTCAATACTTTCAATATATCAATACTCGGTCGACCAATACCAATATTATCAATCAATACTTCATGAAAGTATTGTGCATCTCTACGGTTGAATTCGATTTGTTTGTTGGACCATGAAACTTCCAAGGACTCCAACGATAATCATTTGCATCTTTTGACCGATGAACCATCGCAGTGATCACAGCCTGACTTGGCTTAACTTGGATTGAGAAATTGGCTTTTCCATATTTAGATAGAAATACTATTAAAATTAAAACACGAATTATTGATTGTAAATTGTGTGATGAATTGTGTTTCATGCCAGAATTGGAAACAATAGTTGAGTTTTGAATGTAGATTATCGAGGGCAGTTGAATCTCGATGGTCAAAGAAAGTCAATTGAAAGTTTAGTAGTAATAGATTATGAAATGTTAGATTTTCATCACATTTGATTCACGAGCGAGCGAACCCAAAAAGAAAATCGCAAATGTTCAATTCATAAAATGAATAATCAAAATCACAATTGAATAAATTGATAAAACTTGTGCTAAAATTTCTCGTGTTTAATCTCTGAAATAATCAACTCACTTGATTCAATGGATGATTGTTTCAATTATTCTGAACAGAAGCTTGAATCCACTTTTGTATTATGAATGAAGTTATTGATAATTGTATAATGCTAAATCTTGATAATGATATTGATCAATTCATGTCAGTGGTAGGAGATTTCACGATTAAAATAAAGCTTGGTGAATGAACTAACCTCTCCTGATAATATTTTGTCAAAGGTCACATTGGATCGACAGTTATTTTCTTGGAAAATGGTTTGCAATTCATGCACTAAACCTTTAGCTGCATAAATAGGTAATGCGTAATTATTGCGAAACGTAAGCTAATTATGATGTGAAGACGGAAAAAACAATTGATACTTGCACACCTTTGTCGGAAGTTGAGAATCGTATGATCAAACCTTGAGAGGGACTCGAATTTGTTTGTGTTTGTTTCATGTTTGAAGAACACTAAATGTCAATAAAAGAGAGAGAACATTGTAAGCAAACTCGTGTTCAAATTGCAAAACATTAACGCTTAATGCTAAGGAATTAATTTTTGCACAAAATTTAAATTGATTAGATAGACTCATAATTGAATTGAATTAAATAGACATAGAATAACAGTAGGAAAACCCATCTGAGAATATAAATGTATGATACAAATTCACTTTTTCCTGACCAGTCGAACATGGCTTAAAGATCAAGAAAATCAAGTAATGGTAAATTAATTGAACTACAGTAGTGGTTAGGGTTGAGTTAACAAAACAGGGCCAGAGTTAAGTTAATTTTCAGGTGTCGCCATCTCGGTAATAATTAGTTTTCAGAGAAACTAGACAACTGCAACGACAACAAATAGGAAACCTAACCTCAGAATTCAGATCTCTGAGAAATTGATAAAAATAGAGGCTGGTGAAAATGTAGAATCCGTATCGGATAACATTGGGAGAGGAACAAAAACTTTTTTTCATCAGGTTGATTGCTGATTGTTTGACCAGGATTTTATGCAAAACTTTGTCATCTGAGCAAATAGAGACCGGCTTTTTTCCACCACTTTTTTACCGTCTTTTCACCGTATTGTCGAACATATTGTCCACCTCTCAATCCAACAGAGCTACCAAATAAAGCAAATCAAACAACACCGCTTTTAAAGAGACTTTCCACATTGAAATTGTCCATAAATTGTCCATCACCTTAGAGTGACTTTTTTTCGTCACATTTTCAAACAAATCGTTCATAAGATCATCTACCACCCAGAACTCCGATTCTTGAAAAAATTATTTTCATGGTGTAAGGAAAAACAATCCATATTCAAAGCATTGTGTAGGTAAGCAAATTTTTTTTAGTTTAATGGCGTTATGGTTTATTGTTAAATGATTTATAAGTGCCAAAACTACAACTCTCGAGTTAAGAGTTACGAATTGATGAATTTTCAGGGGTAAGACAATTATCACGATTTGTGTAATTAAAGATTCTCTGATGCGCTTTCTCTTTGATAAATTCAGTTTGTGGAGTATTGTTGCTGACAAACAATTGTTAAAATTAGGAAATCAAAAATTGAAAATCAACATAAGACAAAACGAGAAGGCGTTGGGCTTATTGTGCTGCTCAGTTTCATCAGCTCTTATTCAAAGTTGCGAGACTGCTTATGATGATTGGAATATCTTGAGTTCTACTTTTGAACCAAAAGGGCTATCTCATAAGTATTATTTAAGGGATCGACTATTTGCTTTGAAATTCAAATATGATGAATCAATTATAGACAAGATTGCTGAGTTACAAGATATCTGGAGTCAGTTAAGTTTGACTGGTGAAGTTATATCTGACAACGAAAAGGTTATTACTATTTTGTCAAGTCAATTCTCTAATTTTGTCTCTTCAATCCAAATATTAGTTGCGGAAATGAAATTCAATGATTTACTTACTAAAGTCATTCAAGAAGAGTTTCGTTTGAAACAAGGTCAACAAGATAATGGTCGTAATGGTGAAATGAACAAAGCATTAGCTGTTTCTGGTAAATTGTCTGTTTTGAATGCAATGAAAAGGGACATATTAAGAAAAATTGTCCAGAATTAAAGGTCACTTTCGTTAAGACGGTCAATGAAAGTAACAATAAGGATAATAAAGTGCTAACTGTTACTCAAGATATTGATTGTTACAATGTGAAAATAGATTCTGGAGCAACAAAGCATATGACAGACAATATTAATTTATTGAAGGATTATGTTGAGCTTGAAAATGATAACGTTTATCAAGCTGACGGTACGGCTCTTAGAGTTGATGGTAAAGGTAGCATCGATATACCCACTATGATCAATGGCAAAACAAATTATTTCACTCTTTCAAATGTTTACTATTTACCAAAATTGACACAAAATTTAATTCCAGTTGGTCAAGCTGAAGCAAATGGTGCTAAGTTCATCTTCAAAAACGGTAAATGCAACATTTATCTAAATGATGAATTATTAGTAACTGGAGAAAGACGATCAAATCTGTTGAAGGGTAGAGTTACCCAAGATAAATTAATTTCATTTTGCTTTGGATCCTGATAAAGTATTCAAATACATAAATATCCATACTTTTCATTTTGTAATTTTTCATTAATCCCTTTCTTCTTTTTGTTTGTAAAATTGTCAATGGAGACACAGTTTCCTTTCTTCATTTGTCTTCCTTTTTTCTTAAAGTTTCAAAACCTTCCATTTCCTCCCGTTAACAGTAGTATATATTGAGACAATTTTGCCATTTTGGTTTATGTTCAATTTCTGATCATCTTTATGTTCATTTTTACTGTTTAATCTATGATTTAATTACTGTTTAAATTACTTATTAATCAAGTTCTGATTACTCCTGGTATTGGAATAGCAAGTCGGTTTAATCCCGTCCTGCTCTTGAATTACTAAAGTTTCCTAAAATTTGTTAGTTCTAAGTTAAAGTATTCACATACTTATTACTCAATGTGTTTCAACTATTAGTTTGCTTTAAAACGCGATAGTTCATTGTTTGTGCCAGTCTTGTTTTGACCTTAATTAGCTATTTCTAGCTGTGTGGTAAAGTATTCAAATACTTGTGGTTTCGGACTTGGAATCTTGTGTTAGACACACTTCACAAGTCTACTTGTTCTGGTCGGATTGTGGTTAAGATTTTGGTAAATCTTTGGTTAGGATTGTTATCCTAAAAGTAAACTAAAGTAAAACGAGTTGTAATTGATAGTTCGAGGTGATCCTAAAAGAATCTGAATTTCAGGATTGGAGAGGCTGAATAATCTTCTGTTTTGTGTTAATTGTTTGAATCTGAATGCAACTTTAATTTGATTCAACAAATGAATAACTCTTCCTTTCACTGTATTCTTTGAACTGTTAAGCTATATCTCAAAAGACACAAAAGTCAAATGTCGTTTTTATGGGAAAAACAAATGATAATCATGGTGATATTAACTTATGGCATCTAGGATTTGGT